ACTTAGTAGGGGGGAACCACGCTGCACTCTGTTCTTCTGCACCTCTAAGGCTTAGCTAAGGGCCGTTACTATTTCGCCGCAGCATGGCAGTTTCGAGATACAGTGGCACTAGTGACAAAGCCTTGGGGGTCGCTTCCTCCTTCCCCCCTCCCAACTAATTTAGCACCTTTTTCTCTTCATAACTACATACTTACTTGGTTGTTCGGATTACCCTATTGAACTCGAAGAACTTCATGTCAACTCAACTATATCGTACTACAAGAGAACGAGTTTATACGTTGAATTCACCTGGCACATTGTATTCATTTCCTGATTATCTACACTATCAAAATCATCGAGAAAATCGTATGGTGGCGGTGTAGTCTCATGTAAGACATCGACGAGATGGGTAGAACAACGTTATAACGCCTCAATTACAACTATCTAACATATGAGTCCGATAAAATTTTAATCTACAAATTTGCTTACAAATCTATGTACACCATGGGTCTACCAACCCAAATCAACGCTCAAAGCCACACATTCTCATGAGAGTTAAGAGACAAAATAGAATTTCCAAAACAAAACATAACAGTTAATTTCAGCTGTTAATTATCTGAACTGATAGTTACTCAATTCTGAAGGGGTCAGACAAACGAAAAACTGATAGTACCCACTTTGACGGATGTCACACACAAGACGAAACGACACTATTCAAAAAAACTCGGCTAGAAAACATATAAATACATCGGTGAATCACAGTCACATTCAAAGATGAAAAAATGATTAAATCATCTTTTCACTACATAGCCGATACAGCCTGTTTGTTTTCAACTACCCGCCTTGTATACTCCACTTCAGCTTCTCCTAGTACAGCCTCCCTGCAAATAATTGGTTTCGGCATTTTATCACTTACGTTCGGCGTTCCGAACAAAGTACGTACCGTGTGACATGTATCGACTCAATATCACTGCCTGGAACTGTGAACTTCGCATCAAGCAGCACACCTTCAAGAATTGAACGTAGGGCTCGAGCACCTGGAAACTGTACGTTACCTTGGTTTTTTTCAGTGATAAACATGATTGAAGAGTAATTTGAGTATGGTTAGAGGAAGCGAGTCGAAGTAGGTTTATTTACTTGTTGCTGTCAAAATGCAGCAAAACCACATAGGTAGTACTCGAAAAAAAAGTGGAAGGAAAACATTGGATTCAATATGTCTTCTTACGATATCCAATTTCATATATGAAGGGAAGGAAGCGAAGCAATCGCAATTGGTGTCGCTGCCGCATGAATGGTTCATGTATAGAATCATGTGCTACTCTTTACTGAGAGAAACAAATCCCCTTTCCCGGGGACTATTTTTTCCTCCACCTAGAAGTTGCGTCATAGGGCGCATCCATAATCGATCGTCCGATCTTAACGATCGTCACGATCGTAACGCTCGCATAAGCCGAAGTCGCATAAGGGCAGGCGACGCGGTGATCCAATGCAGAACCAAGCAACCACGTGAGTGCGGCAAATCCCGATGCGGAATGTGCTAAGTCCAATACGAAGTGAGCAGGGTCAACCCTATGTTGCTACAAGTAGCAACGGGGGGTCGTATTTTGATGAGTTTGTAGAGGGGGGTCGTACTTGCTTCGGTTGTAAGAAGTTGCATGTGATGAGTGGGGAGCGGCGCGGGAGAAAATTTGCCGTTTCAGCGCGTATATATACCCCCTAGAAAATGGAGCAGTTGAAATATGGGTAAACATAGGGAAATTGTAAGGAAATGTAGGGAATTTTTGCGGTTTTTAAGGGAAGTATATACCCCCCCCGCTCGACGGTAATTTTTTGGGGTAAAAATCGGTCGGAAAGGGGGGGGGTCGTAGGAAACTTTTCCTGAAGGAGGGGGGTCGTAAAAACTTTCGAAAAGTAACGATAGGACTGACCCTGGTGTGGAGTAGTAGATGCGTACCGATCGTAACGATCGCATACGCGCACATCAGACGATCGATACGTATCTAATGCTGTGCGATCGTTACGATCGCTACCACGTTACCGACCGACTATTCTTGTATAGAGATGCTCATCTTTCTTTTTTCCGTGTGACCCCTTTCATGCAGACGTTATAAACTTTAATAACTTATGTGTGGAACTATAGGAGCTGGCTCCCTTCCCAATGCTTCTATTCCTACAAAGTCAATAGGACATCAGATACGTCGAAAAGGATGAAAACACTGCCTTTCACGTATAACACAGCAACACTGACCAGGCAGGCTTAAGCCTTTCCAAAAATCAATGAAAGGCAGGTGAATAACACAACCGCAAAAAAAAATTGAAAATTACTTTGACGTTTGCATTATGATTGTTCGTAATGCGTAATGCTAAGCTACATCTATAATAGAAAATGCAGTTAATCACCTTTTCCTCGAAAAAGCGCTTCGCTACGTGAAAAAAGCATACCAACCTTGTGCCTATTTATTCTCGATTGTTTTGTACTCGCCCGGACATTGGGGTAAACGGAAACGTATAACTACTTAAACCTGTTTCTTTCTTCATTTGTTGCGCGCCCGCTTGCGCTCTCTCGCCTGAGTTGGCTAATGATCTCACATTTCAAACATTCAAACTTTTGCCAAACTGTAATTGGCTCACCACTCCAGAGTTCCTACCACTTCCAGACTGAGTCTTAGGGCTCTCACTTACCTTCTAGGGATTTAGAGCTGAGCCAGGCGCCGATTTTTAGTCGTCTGTGCTCTAGCCGTTTGTGGCAAGATTATAGAAGAAAGTTTAAGTAATCCGTAAACCCAAGAACATTGCTGATAAAGTCCCCGTTACGGGAACCTTCCTCAGAAGTCCTGTCGCGAAAGGATTAGAGCACAGAAGATTAGAGAACAGCGCCTAGCTCGGCTGCTAACTACAAAAAGGAATATGAGAGCCCCACTCAATGTTGTATTGAAGGGAACAGGGACCCGGTTGGGTGAATCAATTACGTGTGGCAAAATTCGAATGTGAGATCACAGTAGTCATGGGCCACTTTTTAGGCGAGAGAGAGCGGGCGAGAGCTTTAAATTGAGGCGATTTGGAGGACCGAGTTCAAGTAGGCCGTAGGTGTCCTCTAGCTGTGCTATTATTAAAGCATCTTCAAAACACAGAAAGGATGATAACACCATATCTTTCCTGCACTAGGAAACAGGTCAACTTTGTTGACTTATTTCGTCTTTGCTCTTTCTGACATCGTTACATAATGGTAACACTGACTACTATCTTTTAATCTCCAATCATATTCCATTTTCATGTGAATAAGGTAGAAAAAATAATAATTATAGTTAACTAATTAATGATATGCGCACCTGTTTTCCTTTCCAAAGCTAATTGTGCAACCTGCTGTAAAGCTTCCGACGAAAAGGAAAGATCAACCTGGAAAAGAGATGCAACTCTTTCACCGCAAAGTTTGCTGAAATAAAAAACAACTTACATTATCGATAGCAAACTGCAACTTCAACTGAGTAAGTAGCGAATTCTGTGGTTCGGTGAGTACACGAACTAACATCTGAAATCGGTGCGATCGAAAAAGAGCAACTCTATTTATAGTTGTTGTTCCTTCCCTCACAATTTCACTTTTGTAATGAAACAGTAAGCAATCAAAATATGATCACCATACGTAAAAATTTACGACAGCAGTCTAAACAGTGAGCAGGTCGGCTATCTTCTGACGGACGCCGACGATAGGCTTTCAGTGAAGAAATCAACGACTTCAGGTAAATTTCTTCAAACTCGGCCATATTCCGCTCGCCAAAGTGTTTTTGGGATAGTGGAATCGGTAAAAAGGTGAGGAACTACAGGGTGTTCCATAAATATTTGTGGGATTTCTGTAGTCCTTTTCCCAAGGTTGGCATACCTTCACTTCCTATGACCTCTTGTGAATAACCTTGCCGAAGTGCACGGCTTACCATTCGTTGTACATCTCATGGTGCACCTAAACCTCAAAAGAGGTCCTAATCCCTCATACAGCTAGGTCGGACATCCGGTGATGAACATCGCGCTTCTTTGGATTTTCAACCGCTCCTTGGCCTACCGTGTACTGAAGAGAAGACCAATAAAAGTAGTCTTTGTTGTTGCCGCCCCACAAGTTCTGACATCTTGGATCTCAGGAAAAGCATGAAGAAGCGAAACGACTGCAATACCCGGGTTGGCTCGAGAAAGGTGACCAGAACGCTGGAGTTTCTAAACACAGCCATGTAGAGAGTGGTCAGATAACAACTGCTCACAGTCCATTATAAGTTGCATAAGCACCACTGCTCAATCCAACGGGAGGAGCACAGCAGAGACAAAAAGTTCAAAGAGCTGGTGTCGAGGGCCGAAAATGGCGATACGCGGGCACCGTTTTCATCGACGACAAAATTCCTCACATGGAGCGGAGCTACAATCTTCAAACTCCGAGGATGCCCGCATGAGGTCTTGTGGAAGCCAGTGAGAGTGAAAGGAATATTCGCCACAAGCAGCAGCCAATCTTTATCACGATTTGGGCAAGGGTCTCAATCACCGGTCGCTCACCACAACTGTCTGTTGAAAAGCGAATAAAACTCGATACAGACCTAGCTAACGAATGCTCCAGTGCACCATTCTGTTACTAAGGTATCTAGCTTCTCCAAAGAATGACGTTCCTTTTCAAAAGTAACCAGCTTCTAAATAAAAGGATAAAGCATTTGCCGTTGATCAATCCCTTTTTGGGATGCGGCACGCATTCTACTTCCATTTGTACATTCGCAGTGGCATTTGAATGCGTGGTGAGCGTGCCACTTGCCACTACACCACTTCCACCCAGCTTCTGCATAAGGGGCAAAATTGTTTAGGACTGGTCTCATGATGCTGTTCCCCGATTTCACATCCTCAAACAATGGCTCTCATATCTCTCGATTTCAACTGCTGGACCATCCCGAGCTACTGTTTGAGGTCATCAGAGTCTGCA